AGCTGTGAGTGGAGCTCCCCGTGAGCCACGATCTGCGCGGAAGCTCCCTAAAATCGCGCGGGGGCCCCGCTGGAGCCGCAATCCTGAGCTCCCTTTGGGGGGCCCTGCTGGGCGTGAAGGGTGTGCTGCCGTGGGCGGGAGGACGCACGCGAACCCTCTCGCCGGGGCCGTGCACGGAGCTCCCTGTGGGGCACGATCCGAGTGCGGGGTGCGTCGAAGTGGGCGGGGGGAGCTCGTGCGAGCCCTCCCACCGGGCCGCACGTGGAGTTCCCTGCGGGGCACGGTCCCATGGGAGGGGAACGCCGAACCGGGCGGGGGGGCGCAGGCAAACTTTCTCAATGAGGCCGTAGGTGGAGCTCCCGGTGGGCCGCGAAATGCGTATATCTATACACACATGTATACATGTCTATATATATATAATTATGTGTATATATACATATATGTTTGTATGCGCGTATATATATATATATACATATATGCATACATGCATACATACATGCATGCATGCATACATACATACATACATACATACATACATACATACATACATACATATATGTGTGTGTTTGGGGGGGCGGCGCCGAGATGGACAAGGGCACGCATGCAAGGTTTCCCATTGGGGCCGTAGGTGGGGCCCCGCATGGCGGTTGCGCCGATGGGTGCGCACGCAACTTTTCCCATGGAAGGCCGTCGGCGAAGTTCCCCAATGAGCGCGAGGCGCGTGGAAGGGTACGCGTACCCAGTTTCCCGCCGGGGCCGCGGGCGGAGCTGCCCGAGTGCGCCGAAGTGGGCGGGGGACCGCACGCGGCCGCGCCCACCGAGGCCGTCGAGGGAGCTCCCCTTCTCATGGTACAGAGCGCGTGAGAGCGCGCACGCGAAGCCGCAGGTGTAGCTGTGCGAGGGCGCGTGTTGGCGGGCCGGCGAGGGCCGTGTTGGAGCGTGTGAGGGCGCGTGTTGGCGGGGGCTGGCATGCGGCCGCACACCCTGAAGCCGTAGGTGCAGCTTCCTGCCCTGTCAAGGCACGACCCGTGCGAGTGGTGCGCCGAGGAGGTGGGCGGGGGACGGCATGCGGTCGCAGCCGCGGGGGCCGTCGACGGAGCTGGGCGTAGGAAACGAGGGCGAGGTGTGCCGACATGGGCATGGGGACGGAGAGCACAGGCAGGGGGGAGGTGGCGGGGCGGAGGTGGGGGAGGAGGCGGAGGGAGAAGGGGCGCGGTGCTGCCTCTTCAGAACAAGAACCTAGCACGCAGGACGGGTGGGGATTAGGACAAGGCAGGTCAGGCGTGGACGTGGCCCGCGGGATGGGACAAGACCAGGGCAGAACCATGTCAAGACACAACATGATCGAGACAGGGGGCAAGGGAGCCAAGGAGAGGACAGTACGAGACAGGACAGACAGGTAGTCCAAGGACTGACAGTCAAGCAGGGAGCAGAACAGACAGACGCACGACGATGCTGTTACAAATTCCGGCGGCTTGGGCAGCCTTTGTTCTCACTGCATGGCTGCGTTGACGTGCCCATCATTCCTAAGGCTTCGCAGCTCGCAAGCTTCCCATCGTAGTTTTTCTACGCGTCTCAGGCATTCCAGTGCGGTGACCATTATGACTGCTTTTGCCCACACCCCCTGATCAAGCAGACCGACCAGAACAAGGCGAGAATAACTCAGAAACCGATGCGAACAGCAAGCACAGAAAACAGCCAGAGGCACAAGCAACATGATGGACCCACGAACCTGGAAAGGAAAATAGAAATATAAGACATGGCAACGTTTCAAAGACACCTGATTGGGCGACGGGCAAATGCAATGCTGAATGTATCGACCTTGATGTACCGTGCCGAATTCTGTGCTGTGCTGCGCCGTGCTGAACTGCGATGTGCCATGCCGAGATTGTGCTCTACAGTGTTGTGGATCGAGTCCTCCTTTGCATCCGAGTCCTGACCGAACTGCTCTGGATCTTAAGCTCGAACTGCCTGAGCACATAGTAGCTGCTCCAGAGCTACTTCACAAGGGGGCATGCCAGCAAGACGCGCCGCGAAGCGTTGCAAAAGACGCGCCAGGCGACGTGCCAGGGGACATGCAATAGGGACGTGCCGCGAGACGTGCCAAGGGGACGCGCTACGGAACGTGCCAATGGACGTGCCGCGGAACGTGCCAAGGGACGCGCCGCGCGGCGTGCCAGGGGGACTCGCCACAGGACGCGCCACAGAACGTGCCAAGGAACGTGCCAAGTTGCAGTGCTGCGTGAATGTATCGATCTGGATGTACTGTGCTGAGGGCTGTGCTGTGCTGCGCCGTGCTGAACTGCGATGTGCCATGCCGAGATTGTGCTCTACAGTGTTGTGGATCGAGTCCTCCTTTGCATCCGAGTCCTGACCGAACTGCTCTGGATCTTAAGCTCGAGCTGGCTGAGCACATAGTCCACATAGTAGTACCCCAGAGCTAATTGACAAGGGAGCATGCCAGGAGGACGCGCCGCGGAACGTCCCAAGGGACGCGCCATGCGACGTGCCTGGGGACGTGCCACGGGGACGCACTGCGGGACGTGCCAAGGGGACGCGCTACGGAACGTGCTGGGGACAAGCGTCGTGCTGGTGGCCTGGACACGTAAAAACACGTGGTGCCAGCTCGGGACAACTATGTTGGATACCCCCCTGGGTGGCCTGGACACGTGAAAACATGTGATGCCAGCTCGGGACAACCATGTTAGATACCCCCTGGGTGGCCTGGACACGTTAAAACACGTGGTTCCAGCTCGGGGGACATGAAAAAACACGTGGTTCCAGCTCGGGACAACCATGTTATATACCCCCTGCGTGACCTGGATACGCTGAACTCGCGCTCCCGCTCGAGACATCGTCGCAATGTCTTCCCTGGAGAGGCTCCTAAAGCGCAACCCCCTGTTCAGAGCAAGAAAACATAACGTTTCTGAATTGAGACATGTGTTCGGGTAGCGTTTTTCGGCCCCCTGTGCGTTTCCTCATGCTTCGGCGTTGGGCCCGACGCCATGTTGGATACCCCCCTGGGCGGCCTGGACACGTAAAAACATGTGGTTCCAATTCGGGACAATCATGTTAGATACCCGACTGGGTGGCCTGGACACGTAAAAACACATGGTGCCAGCTCTGGGCAACCGTGTTAGATACACCCCTGGGTGGCCTGGGCACGTTAAAACACGTGGCGTCAGCTCGGGACAACCATGTTAGATATCCCTCTGGGCGGCCTGGACACGTAAAAACGTGGGTGCCAGCTCTGGGCAACCATGTTAGATACACCCCTGGGTGGCATGGACATGTTAAAACAGGTGGTTCGCGCTCCCGCTCGAGACATCCTCGCAGTGTCTTCCCTGGAGAAGCCCCCAAAGCGCCACCCCCTGTCCAGAGCAAGAAAACATCACTGGGATATGTGTTCGGGTAGCGCTTTTCGGCCCCCGCGTGCGTTTTCTGATAATTCGGCGTTGGGCCCGACGCCATGTTGGATATCCCCCCTGGGCGGCCTGGACACGTAAAAACACGTGGTTCCAGTTCGGGAAAATCATGTTAGATACATCCCTGGGTGGCCTGGACACAGGACCACTATGTTAGATACCCCCCCTGGGTGGCCTGGACACTTGAAAACACACGGTTCCAGCGCAGGACCACCATGTTAGATACCCCTCCTGGGTGGCCTGCACACCTAAAAACACGTGGTTCCAGCTTGGGACCACCATGTTAGATACACCACTGGGTGGGCTGGACACGTGAAAACACGTGATTCCTGCTCGGGACCACCATGTTAGATACCCCCCTGATGGCCTGCACATGTAAAAACTCACGGTTCCAGCCCACCCAGGGGGGATATCCAACATGCGGTCGTCTGAGGCGCCAGCGACGGACAACCGGTCGAGGCGGCGAGAAGGACAGCGCCGAGGTCGCAGAGGTCGGGGGCCAGACGGGGAAAGCCGTCGGGAAGAGGTGAGGGTCGGGTGGCCCACGCCACGGCTGTTTGCACCGAGCGATGCCCCTCGGCTCTCAGGGCGTCAGCCCAGTAGACACCCAGGGTGGCCAGCCGGTCGGCGGCCTTGTGGAGTCGCCGTCGTTCGGCCTGCCAGGTGAGAGCAGTCCACCCCCCCATTGGCCGTTTGCCGCAGGGCGTGGTCCACTTGCTGTGCAAAACTGGAGCCTCCTGTGGCGTCCGGTGCCCGCGCCGTGCCGTGTGGCGGCGAGATGGTCGCCTACCTCCCGGGCGCATCTAACGGGACTGTCAATGTGTGGGAGAAGGGCGAGGCCCGCCCTGCCTCCCGCAGCCTCGGCCGCCTGCGCGTTGTCGTCACCGGGGAGGGCGACCACAACGGCGGCGACCACCCTGGGGGGCCCGGTGCTTGGGTCGTGCTTTTCCACAGGAGGGCACCTGCACCAGCAACTTTGGGCCTTTCCAGAATGCTCCTGGCGCCTCCGTCGAACGTGATTTCGTAGGGCCACTGCGCCGCATCCGCAGATGGGAAGGGGGAGTCGCTTACGGTGATCTCGTCTCCCCGCTCCATGGGCCGGCTGGCCCACAAGGTGACGGTGTGGGTGTCGCAGGCGCGGCAGTATCTCCTGATCCAGTACGCAGACGGGTCTGCGTCCGTGCGGGGGCAGGAGAACAACCCACGGCCTGGGATCATGCAGGCTGCCCTCGTGTCCGAGGCCTGGAGCACTGCGAGCCGTTCCCCAGAGCGGGCGCTTCGACTCGCGACGGGGAGGCGTCTGACCTCCCCACCAGCGCGGACAGCTTGCTGTCCATGTGCGGCCTGGCGGCGCCGTTGATGCACTGGCCCGTCCCACCCTGTGGGTTACACGTGTCACAGGCCTCGAGCATGGGGGCCCAAACCGATGTCTCTGCTGGCTCAGGGGGGGGGACCTGACCCTCGTGCCAGTCGTCGTCGCTGTCACTTTGCTGGTCACAGTCGGGTACCACGATCCCTTGCAATATGAGCCTAGCTGCCTCTTGGGGCTGGTGGGGATACGCGATTTTTTTTGGAGCGGGAGCCTCGTCTGTGAGTGCGCGGAGAGGAAGTCACGAGTGGGAGCCCCCTCCCTATGGAGCCTGCACTTCATGATAGTAATCCGAGGTGGTCATCGGCATGCTTGTATCTGTCGTCATTTAATTGTAGCCACGTTCGGGCTCCCGATGCCCAAGTCAAAGAGAAGTCTGAAGCGGGAGCATCGTCTGTGAGTGCGCGAAAAGAAAATCTCAAGCCAGAACCCCCTCCGATGGGGCCCGCACTTCATTTTCTAAGACTTGGGGATCTCCCAGTATCTGAGCCTGGGTCCCTCTGGCTCACTAAGGCCAGAAGCTGCGAGAAGCTGCGACAGTTACACAAATTAAAGCCGTTGAGCTAAGTTCCACCACTTTGCCGGCGCCTCTGGCGACTCAGGCGACGCGCCCCTCGCGCGACGCCTTGAGCCGAACCTAAGCTCGGTCGAGAATGGTGTGGGTACACACTGTCTGTCAACGCTCCAGGCTTGCGATATTCGCGGGGCTGCTGCAGAAGCGAGATAAAAATGTAATACACGAAAAAATACTTCGGAGGGGGGGGAGGGGGAGGGAAAAGGGAGGACAAGGAGGGCGGGGGAGGTGCCTGCAACGCGCAGGTTCGGCCTAGTACAGGACGGAAGCCCCAGCACAAAGAGTTGTCGGCACAATGCGTGGGGGGTGCCAAGAGAGGACGACGAGGGGGGCGAGAAGTGGAGAAGGTGAGATGACAAAGAGAAAAGCATGAAGAGGATGCAAGGAACCACCGACGGTCTTCCGCCTTAAAATGAAGCGCTGACCAGTGCTGGCCCGGCGTCGTTGCTCTCGACAGGGAGGCAGAGCAGTGGTGAAGGGCGAAAAGAGGGAGGGGGAGGAAGACACATGAGGAAGCGTAAGGGAAGACAGAGGAGCGCGAGGTGGTGCGGATTACCGGCCAACAAAAAAAAGTATTTAAGCATACAGAACGATCTGCCAACCAACGACCTAGACTAAAACCTGTGACAAAACGGAACCGGAACCACAGGCATCCTGGGCGGTCAAGTCGAAACACGTTCTGCGCCCTCGCAGAGAGCCTAAACCCCCTAGCCTAACTACTAAATGTGAAGCACGCACATCGGAAGAACACACGCCCGTCAATTTTGGCACACCTTTTGTGCTGTCACCAGCACCACTGACACGAACGCCAATGAGGCACCGAGGGCGACTTTGAGCATCAACGGCTCCCCGAAGAGGACAACCTGCCACGTCAAGGAGAAGACCACATCCAGGTAGCTGATCAAACTATTCAGGGTTGCGGTCCCACCCTGCGCGCCCCAATTCATAGACCACTGCGTGCAGTACCCAGCAGCACCAACTGCCATCACCCAGAGCAGGCAGACTGGTGAGCAAAGCGAGGTGAACGCCCGAGGGCCTTCGATCACCAGCGCCGCGGCGCCGCACATGAGAAAGCCGATGACGCCAGTCAGCCATGTCATCAGGTCAGCCTGGTGCGCAGTCGTCGTTGGAAGATTCACGTCCGAGGCTTCCGTGGCCTTGCCCAGCCGCTTCAGGGAGATGTTCCTCACTGCGTTGCAGCCAGACCCCAAGAGCCCAAACACTATAGCCGAGGTTTGGCCGAGGTGCCCCGGGTGATGCGTACCGCCTCCGCCCTCGTGCGCGCAAGCGACGAGACTTACCCCGCCCGTGCACGCGAGCAGGGCGGCGCTCTCTGACCACCCCCAAGCCTCGTCCAGCATGAAACGAGCTAGCACGCAAGTGATGACTGGTGACGCATACTTGATCATAGTTGCCTCTCCTACGGCCATCGACGTCACGACAACAGAGAAGATGCCGAAATTCAAGCTGCCCGCCACGCATCGTACGATGATCCAGAATCTTCTGCTGCTGCCAATGCTCCAAATGTCGTTCGCTGGAGTCAAGACGCTCCCCAAGCTCCAACTTGAAACTACGGTCTGGATCGTGAACCGCACTGTTGCAGTAACTAAGGCCTGGCAGCCGGCACGTCCGGCCATCTTCACTGCCACCGACTGGCTCGAGTTGGACAGAGACGAGATGATCAAGGCGAAGACACCCATCAAAAAGCGTGCCCTGCCGCTGTCGATGAGGCTGACGGCGCCCTTCTCCTCGTGATCTTCCTCTTGTGGATCGATGTCGGATAGGGCACCTTCCTGCGTGTCAACCTCAGTGGATATCTCCCCCTTCTCGGCATCAATGAGTGCAAGGGATGCCTCCCCAGGGTCAATATCGACGTCACGGACGGACGCCATCGAAATTCGGGGTATAGGCCTGCTGCTCTCTCCTGACAGAGCCAATTGCCTTGAGCCAAAACGGCTGCGGAATGGGGCTCACACTTCATGATAGTAATCCGACGCGGTCACTGGCAGACTTGTGACTGTCGTCCATGTTGGGCCCCTGATGCCTGAATCGGGAGGAGGTCTCGAGCGGGAGCCCCGCCGGTGAATGACTCGCGAGGACGTCTCGACCGGGAGCCCCGAGCGGGAGGCTGGTCTGTAAGTGAGTCGCGAGGAAATCTCGAGCGGGAGCCCCCTCCCCCGTGGGGTCCGCACTTGACGTTAGCATTCCGAGGAGGTCGTCGGCCTACCAGGTATGCCAGAAGAGAGCAGCGCAGAACGGCAGACACCAGCGGAGAGCAGCAGACAGCGGAAGAGAGCGGCAGAGAGCAGCAAAAATCGGCGTGCGCGCCCCTGCAAAAGGGAGGGGGGGAGGCGGGGGGGAAGAGATGCAGGAGGGCGAGGAACAGGAAAACAGCCTCCGCAATCACAAGGACGACGACGAGGTGTGCAGCTTGAGCAGAAAGTGCTCCCTGACAAGACAGCAGGGTGCGATTCCGAGGGGGTGGAACACTTCAATTGGGAAAACATAATGGGTTCAGCGGGGAGGGCAACAAGAATCATTCAGAAATGAAACTTCAGCCAAAAATACCGCGACGCGCTAATCGCAGGCGCGTTAAGTTTCGCGCCCGCGCGGCGTATGTGAACGTATTCCTGTGGGCGGGGGCATCTTGTTTCTCGTGCGGGCGAATCCAAGCGGGCGGTTCGTGCGAGCGGACCTAGTGGGCACGGGTCGGATGGGCAGACTTACATGGGCGGAGAGGGCGGGCGGGCCCTATCCGGTGAGGAGGGCGGGCGGAACATTGAACCACGATTCGTTCGTAAAGTGTCGGCAAGTCCCAGACGAGAACGCGATTCGTCAGCAAATTGCAGGGAGCGCCAGGGCGAGGGCACGATTGCGGAGCGGCGGGGTCGCGAATTCGCCGGCCCAACGGGCCAGGGCGTGCTAAGATCTCCGGTAACTGGTTAACAGTATTAACAGTATTTCTAGTTCGCGCGCGCGGGGCGGCCCCTGGGGGTCCCCCGGCGAAAAGTACCCCGACCAACGCCCGGTCGCCGCCCGACCAAGTCTACTCAGAGATGGTTTTCCTTCTGGGTGCGGCCTCTCAGGCTCCCCAGAGCGCGCTCAGAGTGCCCCAAGAGGCCCCCAAGACTGCCCAAGAGGCCCCCGAGACGCCCAAAGAGCGCTCGAAGACGCCGAAGATGACCCCAAGACGGCCCAAAAGGCCCCCAAGACAGCCCAAGAGGCCTCCAAGACGCCCCAAGAGCCTTCCAAGAGGCCTCCGAAGAGAGCCCCAAGAGGCCAAAATCGTTGATTTTCATTTGTTTTTTCGATGTTTTTTGTGTTCTGGCTTTTTCGGCTTCCGGACGCTCCAAGACGGCCCAAGAGGCCCCCAAGACCGCTCCAAGACGGCCCACGAAGCTCCCAAGACGGCGCCGAAACGACCCAAGAGAGCCCTCAAGACGGCCCAAGTGCCGCCCAAGACGGACCAAGAGGCCCCAAGACGGGCCCAAGAGGGACTCAGGAGGGATACCGAGAACTCAAAAATGGAGCCCTCCGTCCCAGAAGGCGCCCAGGAGGTCCCAAAGAGGCCCCAAGAGGCCTCCAAGAGGCCCCAAGATGTCGCCAAGAGGCCCCAGGAGACTCCCAGGAGGCCCAAAAGAAGCCCCAGAAGGCTTCAAACATGTCTCCCAGGCGCCCCCGAACGGCCTCTCAACAGACCCCAAGAGGCCCCCCAAAGAAGCATCTTGACGACGACTCTATTTCGCCCCATCGAGAGACGACCCCCAGGGAACTGCTTCACCATCAAAACTCCCCACGCAACGCGTCCGAACGACACCCGCCCCCAAGAGCGCAACATGGGCAACGAACACACAGACAAAAACCAGCGATGCCATATCACGGGCCGGCGGAATGAGCGAAGCGATTCAATCTAAAAAACAAAAGATTCAAAAGTGACAGACAACAGCACGAGCCTTGAGAAAATCCCACCAGCCCTTTAGGGCGTGAGTGGTTTAGCGACTTCCATCTTCCAACCCTCCTTCTTCCCCTTAGGGGAGGGGTTGATCACTTTTCCCTATTAATATACACTCCCTCCCCCAGGCGACCCGGCGGCCAACCAGGAACCATGATCCCACCCCCCACCATCCCGATCAAAAATCACACTAAACGCACTCTGCCTCCAAATTCGGAGCATGCGCAACCAATCCAATGCGGGCCCCCCATACAAAGTACACTTTGGGGTAAAGTCCGGAGTCATGTTCGTGAGGCCCGCAAGCACGTTGTCTTTGTGTTTGACAGGGGCGGCGGGGGTGTCAGCATATTGCCTGCTGCGCACAGGGCTACCATCCCTGACAAAACACCGTACAAAATACACCTCGCGGCTACATCCGGATCATGCGCGGCCACCCCGCGATCATTGCCAAGTGCTTTTTGACAGGGGCGCCGGGGGTGGTGGCGTATGGCCTGCTGAGTGCAGGCCCAGCAGACAATAATTGGCATTGGTTTTCGATAAAGATGGTGGGGGCCGACATGTTGAACGATGTGTGCTGTCACGTGCGCAGGCGCCACCGACACACCGTGCACGTACCCCAAACGTGGCGCACCTGGCGCGGCTGGAGTATGCGGCACACCTGGCGCACGCGGAGGCACATGGCGCATCTGACGCACCAGGCGTGCCTGGCACGCTCGGGCCCCAGGGGTGCCTGACGCGCGTGGCGCGCCTGGCACGCGTGGCGCACCTCGCCCCAGCGTCGCGCACATGGGCTCGGTGTTGGTTCCCAGTAGCTGCCCATCCAAAGACGACCGCTGAACATGCTGAAGCTCGGGTGATCCTTCTGTGTTGGGAGAGCGGGTGGGAGTGAGCTAGACGGCTTGCTATCCAGAAGGTGTCTTGACCCCTCCCCATACCCCCTACCCCTGGGTTTGGAAGGGGGGTCGCCAATGGTTAGAGCGACCAAAACGGCCTCGGCGAGGAAGCCTAAATCATTGATTGTACGTACGTTTTTGCCACATTCGACATTCTAGTCTCCTGAAGGGGGTGGCCTAATTAAGGAGCCACCCTCCTGAGGTCAATCCTCCAAGATGGCCCCAAGATGGCCCCAAGATGGCCCCCGAGGCCCTTAAGTGTGCCCCAAGACGGTCCCGAGGGGTGCCCAGGAGGCCCCGAGAGGCCCCAAGAGGCCCCAAAATGCCCTCAAGAGACTCCCAAGAGAACCCCAAGACGCCCAAAGAGGCCTCGGTGAGAAGGCCCAAATCATTGATTTGACTGAGGTTTTGGCCACATTCTGGCCTCCTGGAGGGGGGACCCTTATCAAGGAGCCCCACTCCTGAGATCGATCCTCCAAGATGGCCCCCGCACACGGCAGCCCTCTGGTCCCCATGGGAAGAGGAGCAGGTCTCATTTCAAGCCTGCATGGAAGGATGGATGCATCGACCGTGCGATGGAAAACAGGATCGACCCACGAACCCGGAAAAGAATATCGAAACGTAAGGCATGGCAACGTTTCAAAGACACCTGATTGGGCGACGGGCAAATGCAATGCTGAATGTATCGATCTTGATGTACTGTGCCGACGACTGTGCTGTGCTACGCCGTGCCGAACTGCGATGTGCCATGCCGCAATTGTGCTCGATATAGCGTTGTGGATCGAGTCCTCCCTGGCATCCGAGTCCTGACCGAACTGATCGGGATCGTAAGCTCGAGCTGCCTGAGCAGATGGTAGCTGCCCCAGAACTAATCGACAGAGGGGACATGCCAGGAGGACGCGCCGCGGAACGTCCCGAGGGACGCGCCAGGCGACGTGCCAGGAGACGTGCCATGGGGACGCACCGCGGGACGTGCCAAAGGGACGCGCTACGGAACGTGCCAGTGGACGTGCCGCGGGACGTGCCAGGGGACGCGCCGCGCGACGTGCCAGGGGCGCGCCAAGGAACGTGCCAAGGTGCAATGTTGAGTGTATCGATTTTGATGTACCGTGCCGAGGGCTGTGCTGTGCTGGGCCGTGCTGAACTGCGATGTGCCATGCCGCGATTGTGCTCTATATCGCGTTGTGGATCGAGTCCTCCCTGGCATCCGAGTCCTGACCGAACTGATCGGGATCGTAAGCTCGAGCTGCCTGAGCAGATGGTAGCTGCCCCAAAACTAATCGACAGAGGGGACATGCCAGGAGGACGCGCCGCGGAACGTCCCAAGGGACGCGCCAGGCGACGTGCCAGGGGACGTGCCATGGGGACGCACCGCGGGACGTGCCAAGGGGACGCGCTACGGAAAGTGCCCATGGACGTGCCGCGGGACGTGCCAGGGGACGCGCCGCGCGACGTGCCAGGGGGACTCGCCACGGAACACGCCAAGGAACGTGCCAAGGTGCAATGTTGAGTGTATCGATCTTGATGTACCGTGCCGACGACTGTGCTGTGCTGGGCCGTGCTGAACTGCGATGTGCCATGCCGCGATTGTGCTCGATATAGCGTTGTGGATCGAGTCCTCCCCGGCATCCGAGTCCTGACCGAACTGATCTGGATCGTAAGCTCGAGCTGCCTGAGCAGACGGTAGCTGCCCCAGAACTTCTCGACAGGGGGACATGCCAGGAGGACGCGCCGCGGGACGTCCCAAGGGACGCGCCAGGCGACGTGCCAGGGGACGTGCCATGGGGACGCACCGCGGGACGTGCCAAGGGGACGCGCTACGGAACGTGCCAGTGGACGTGCACCGCGCGACGTGCCAGGGGGACTCGCCACGGGACGCTCCGCGGAACGTGCCAGGCAACATGCCAGGCTGCAATGCTAAGGGCATCGATATTGATGTACCATGCCGAGGGCTGTGCTGTGCCTGGGCAACCTGGACAGGTGAAAACACGCGGTTCGCTCAAGACGTTCTCAGCACATCCTCATGGCCTGGGCGACCTGGACACTTGCAAACAAGCGTCTCGATCGAGACTTCCTCGACACATCCTCATGCTAGACATCCGCCTGGGCGACCTGGACACGTGAAAACAAGCCTCTGGTTCGAGAC